ACACACACACACACACACACACACACACACACACACACACACACACACACACTTTAACCATGCACTTAGTAGTTTGAAATAATTATAAGAGGGGATAAATGTTGAGACTGAAAAGCTTTAATTACAGAGACAGCGCTCTCCCTTTTGGGAAACATTTTTAAATTAATATTCTATCTCTGCCTCGTCGCTGACCTGCTGCTGCTCTCTAGGTAAATGCATCCACGAGGAAATAATGAGAATGTGTCTTTGTGTCCCGAGTTAGATTTGCTAAAGACTGACTTCAGAAAAAAGCATTTGAATTTCTCATAATCTAAATAAACCGGACTGGGAGAATTAGCAGATGATGGCTGGGGGGAGATTTTGACACAATGGGTTTATTATGTACTAAATTAATTTCATTGTTGTAATAAACATACATCATGGTGCTACTAGATACTTTACCCCAAAGTAACCCAAACTGAAATAAAGTGATAAAGATAAATAAAGTGACCCTGACAATGAAATTAGAACATTATCAGGTTAACCCTACTGCCAGACAAAAACATAAATATTAACTGATTTTGCACAGCCCCGAAAAATGTTCAATAATGTAATGACAAAGCATTTTAAAGTCCACATAAAGGCCCTCTTATATACTGTATGATTATGATTATTCAGTTGGCACTGAACGATGGCATCGGACCCAATATGGACGTAATTCCTGGGGATAATAGGCTGCTTAGACGGATGTTTTAATAATAATGAATGGTTGATATCTTGGATCAAAATAATTTCCATTTCCTAACACGTATGACAGAATCAGAATACAATCTATATTGAAAAATTAAGTTGGACTAAATGTATGATTCAGTTAAACGGACATTTTGTAACAGACAAGTCAACACAGTCTTTGGTTCCAAGACAATTCTTAGCCATTTCAAAGTCTGGATTTAGTAATCCAGGTGAGATTTCCACTTAACAATGTGAATTTTGAGCCACAAGAGCCATAAAACTGATATTAGTTAAGTTTTTACAATTGCAGCAAGAGGTATAAAACTGTGTGTAGGTCCAAGACATGTATAAAGCTGTGCATGCACAATGTTCTGCTCCATAAATGCTATTATTTCTAAAAGTGTACTCATGTGTATGATCTGAGTTATATACACACACCTTAATCAACTGTTTGCATGTTATCTGTCTCCTGGTGTCTTCTAGCCTTTTACTGCACCACAGGGAGTTTTATAATTAGTGTCTTTGAAGTAAACAGAAGAACTGAGTAGTTCTCATAAACATGGATAGCTAGAATTGCTAAACAGACAAAGAAAAAAAGAACACTAAAGACAACAACAGGAAATCCATGGAAGATGATTACAATGCCACCAACAATATTGTGTCTGACAGGCGATGTCTAGGAAAGTGCAAAAGCACCACAGTGATGAGTGCGCACAACTAAAAAAATTGAAAAAACGAAGAATTTCAGGGATCATCACTTTAACAACGACTTCCGACTGAGCATCCTTGTTTATATTTGATGTGAAAGAACACACAGTATCTGGTGGCTGTGAAGAGGAACACAGCGTGAACATCAGGTACATCAAATGAAGTGCATCTAATGAGATGCGTCCCAGCTGGCGGAGTGCTGAGTAGTAATGAGCGAGAATGACCAAAGGGCCACGGAGGGGGAGCGAGGGTTCACAACAAGATGCCGCCTTGGAAGGCTGCCAAGATGTCTGGAGGATGGACAGGGGCAAGCAGTGAACAGCGGGGACATCAAAGCCTGCAACTGGCTGGGAAAAATGGGTTACATGGGCATTTTTTATTTATTTATTTATATATTAAATATACTACATATATCTACTTTTAGGGATGCATAGTGCACTTGTGATTATGCTTGTCATTATGTAATATTTACTTGGATATGCTACATACCAGTGCCATGAGAATTGAGCATTGTCATCACTAAATGAAAACCAATAAACACTGTTGGTGATAACCCAACATTTTCTGAGTTTGCTACTTCAAAAATAAATATTTTAAATAACAAAATAATGTATCGAAAAACATGTTTAGCAGCGATTAGCAGAGCTCCGTTTACTGCCATCCTTCAACGTAAACAAGTCGACAAATTCTACAGGGAGGAAAAGTAAGCATTAAAAATAAATGGGGACTTTTACTGAGAAGAATTTATAGGAAAATGTCTTTTGCATTAAATTATTGTAGCTGTATTAGCTGCTATCCTTCAATAAAAGACAGGTATATTAATACTGAAGGGAGGAAGAGTATAAGCATAAAAAAATAATGGGGATATAGGGAAAATCTGTTAATCATCACAGCGAAAATAACGTGGGACTTATAGAGAATTTTCTCTACAGCCGCTTCTTTGACCACGTAATATCCGATCACCATCCGATCAGGCAAGACGCGTTAAGACACATATACGGACAAATGTATTTAATCACAAAAGTCGCATTCACCATGGCCAATCACGCCGGATTGGGAGACTTGTGGTTCTCTCAATAAGCATTTCCTGGCAGTAAGGAGAATCATTTTGTTTAACATTGTTTGCTTCCCTTCTCTGTCAGTTGGCAGTGTCAGCAGCTTGCATTGAAACACGTACCTGCCAGCTGGCTGACAGCCAGCTTGTCAGGGGGACCCGGGATGACCTCATAGACAAGGGGGTGGTGAAACGGGGTTGTGACGCCTGCTCGTAATCTGCAGTGACAGTCAGTGGGCAGCAGGGCAGACAGGGAGACTGTCAGCGTGCAAGCTGTGATGATGGAGTGTGTTTTCATTAGATCTGGTACTGTATAACGCGAGGGCATGTATGGACACAAACATAGATTTGCACACACACATACAGGTGCATGTCATTCCAGAATGGATCCAATCCAGACTCGCATTGCTGACCGCCACGGTACACGGCTAATTAATGAACTCACAGACTGTCCACACTCACCACAGGGCACACACACATACAGATAATAAACTGGACATACACACACATAAACGCTTCTCCCTTCATCGCTGATTCACTGCACGTTGTGTTTGTGAGCTTTACTCGGTGCACTACTGCTTTTTCTCTCCAAGGAAAATTATGCGTGTCGTCTTATTATAAAAAAAGGATGCTTTTCAAAAGAAACATGAATCAAAGAATAAAAAATATAAAGCCCATCACTCTGCATAGCCCACATTAGTGCACTGGTAACCATGTCATCAACCCGTCCTGCTTCTTGCACAGTATAACCAGCATGGACATACCTCCATTATGCATTAAGACTACATCCCGTCTTGACATACTTACAGTAGCCTACATGGGATCTGTCATCCTGCTGAAAGTGCCTAATGGACTCCATACTGTATAAGTTATGCAGTAGGCAATGGGGAACACAACAGGATGTCCCTCGGTTACTGTTGAGAGCATTGACTGTAAGAAGTGGAGCTAGTCATCATGACTTCACCCATTGGTTTGTAGACTGCTGTTTTGAAGCCTCGAGTTCGGCAAGTTCCCTGTCGCAACCAATGAATGGAAGTTACCATATTTGGAATGTGGAGGAGTGATGTAGTGACGCTGTATATGGCTCTGGTATACAGCGTATCTTACGAAGAGTTTTCCTTCGAAAGCCTGCAACAGCTGCACATGGTCCTTTCAAAATAAAATCCCTTCTCCACAGGAAACAACTCAGTGGCCTTTAGGCATAAAAATTGCTTGGTTAGGTTTAGGAAAATATCGTCATTTGGTTAAATATCTACGGAGGTGCCGTAACAGAAGTACCCAAGTTGGGTGACAATTACAACAAGGTTGACTTCTCTGTTCACACAGGGAATGAACAGTTGGACTCACCCATCTCCTCTGGCCCTGTGTGGGCTTTTGGGGTCTTATACCTTGTTCATGCTTACGTGCACAACATATGTATTGATTTTGGGAATACCTACTATTTACGGCACATTACTTTTTGTTGGTATACCTAATGAAGAGAATGGAGAATCTGGGGCCAGTTAATCGATGGGAATATAGACTTGTACAAGTCTTGTCCATCCCCAACAGTCTGTTGGTAGCTGTACTGTATCCAACTGGCACAGTTTAAAAAATATATATAATTACGTTTCAATAATTATAAACAGTCAAAGGGGCAATCTCGAGGATTTTTATTTAAATATATGTCCGTTAAGTCACTATCTTTTGCGGAAGGAGGTAACACAATGGTGATTGAAAGAAATGCTGCATCACTGTTATTTTCTATTGTACACACACAAAATTTAACTATTGACACAATTCTGATAAATAGCATGTCAGTATTGAATTCTGGTAGCAGCTAAAGACTCCAAACTGCTAAACTTGGAAAGCACTTCCTTAGTTTCCATTCATATTGAGATTCAAAATCTGGTCAGGACTGAAATCTTAAGGATTTGCATATTATCCTACAAGCCATTTTATTGTTTATCATCAATGTGTTTTCAATACCATGTATAAACAGATGTGGAATTATGCTAATTTCTTCACAAACACCTAAGACCTTGAAAATGACAACATGTATTTTTTTTGTTTTATGCTTTTTTCTCTCCACGTAGCAGTGGGAGATGTGGAAAGCTTATGAGTGTTTTGTAATTATTGTGGTGCATTTACTCACCACAATGACAGACGCGTAATGTGTGAATGGATGTGGGTGTAAATAAGTTTATTTACCAAGTACTGTCTGCAATGGGCGGATTCTCCGTCACTGCAACATTGTGGCAATAGTGCATCGAACATGTACTGAGTGACATTATCTACACAAGGGCATCAAATGGGTTAGGAAGTAGAGCAGATAGATACCAGTGCACCAAAGTTCTTAAAGCAGACTCTGATAATGTCCTTTCCATACTACAGAGATCTACGGTAATTAATGCAGCTAATGACAGCTGGCAGGTCATTTGAACTCTCCGCCCGTCTTTCACACTCACGCATGCTTTCACAAATGTACGATGAGTTAATTTAGTATAAATAGACTTAATGGGCAGATTCAATTACCGCCTCGCCAACGGTACGAATAGCGGGCATCAGAGATGACAAGATTAGCTTTTGGCTGAAACAGCACCAAGCAGTAATCAGAGCTCAGACACATTTCTGCTGCGGGGAAAGCATAAAATTAGGTCCACTGTGACATTTAGTTCTAATTCAGCTCATTTTGAAATATAATGAGGACATAAACATACACAATCCAAGTTGTCTAATTATTTTTGACTACTTCTGTGATCTTGTCAAAGCCTACAAAAAGCAGCCCCAGTCTAAATATAGACCGGGATATTACTTATGACATTTCTCAAAGTGGTCTCTGCGCTGACCTTTCAGTGACAGCGACTCTGAAACTACTTTGTGAAACCATGGAAAAATGATAAAAAGGTCCGTCTGTCTCAAAACTGTAAAAATTGCTTTTTTATGGAAGTAGAATTTGAGTAAAAATGTTACAGAGCTTTAGGACACGTGTGTAGTGAAATATTTTGTTCAAATCTCCCCTTTTAATAACTACTTTAAAGTGTGTTGTATATTTTCAGTGTGTTGTTTTATATGATCATTTCAACATTTGAAAAGTGTCTTTGAGAACTATAAAAAGTGCTCTATGAAAAATAAGGATTTTATTGGCTTCCTGATTGGGTGGTAGTCATTCTTTTTGGGAACTGTACGATTCGCTTTCTTGCAAGAGTGGATCCAGAGATGGTTAGCTTAGCTTAGCTTAGCTTAGCATAAAGACATACAGGAAGCAAGGGGAAACTGCTAACCTGGCTGTGTCCAAAGGTAAAAAAGAATGAACTCATCATATCTGGTTTGTTTAATCTGTACAAAAAAAAGGTAAAACTTGACAAGTTGTTCCTTTAGTGCTAAGTGTTATGAATCTATTTCTTGGTCGGGTACAGTGACGTTGTCTCAACAAGTTATACGGTATAGATCCAGGGTTGCTGTTTGCCCGTTTCCAGTTTTTATGCTAAGCTAAGGTTCTTGCTCTAATTCCATAGTGATGGGACAAATATAAGATAGGAATCAATATTCTGACCAACTCTTTGCAAGAAAGCAAACAAGCAATATCCTAAAATGACTGAAAAAAAAAAAAGAATATGAGGAAGAAAAAGTAAAACAAAATTCTGACCTTGGCAAACAGCGCGCCCTTGGCTGCCAGTGCGTCCTCCCCTCTCCCGTTGGGGTAGCACTCAAACCTTGCATCTAGGATTGGGTAGCGGCTTGCCAGCATCAGCCCACTGTTTAGGAATTTGAACCTTGAGCAGCATCCTTTCCAGCCGTACCGGCCAACGTCGCTCAGCACATAGGGGAAATAACGATGCAGCTGACACCGCAGTCTGGTCGTCGACCCGTGGTCAAACACTTCCTGTAGAGCCAGAAAATCCAAGTTGGCAGGGAAAAAGGCAGAGATGTCGTGGTCGAATGTTTCATCTCCATGGCGGCGTTTTCTACCGGGGCGCTTGAAGAATGACGTGCGAGGGACATGGGAAAGAGTATTGTTGGAGGATATGCCAACGCCACCGTCACCACCATGATAACGAGCGAGGGATTCCCTGGAGGCAGTCATACTGCCCGTGTCTCCTGCCACCTGATCCCCAGTCCGATGGTTCCCTGTTTCAACCTCCTCCTCCTGTGGGTCTGACTCTGGGGCGCTGATGCTGATTTGAACTGCTGAGGCGTGAAGTGGGCAGTCTGAGGACGCTTTTGTCTGGATCCCTTCCCCATGCACGGGACAGTCATGATGGCCTTGACCAACTTGAGCCCCTGTGGAATGCAAGGGGCAGTCTGGAGCCTCCCCTGAGATATGTACGGGACACTCTGAGCTGCTGTTAGTCCCTGCAGGGTGGAGGGGACAGTCTTCTGTCGTGTCTCCTCCCTCTGGGTGAAGAGGGCATTCAGAGGTACCCTGGTCTCCTGCAGACGGGTGTACGGGGCAGTCGGCGGCACCTGAGGGGTGAATTGGGCACTCGGTGAGGGGTTCGGTTTCCGTGTCGGCTGGGCCGTTGGTGGTGTGTGTTTGGTCTGGACGCTGGTCCAGAGAGGAGGTGCGGCGGAAACCTGTGGCCAGGCTGCTGAAGGATGCCGCACTGATGAACCGAACAGAAAGAAAGAACTATTCAAAATCCATTTATTCAATTGATATGTATGACAAGAGTGAATGTTTTTACTGCTGCTAAGACGTAAGCAGAAGGAGCCCAGGAGCAAGCTCTCCTCACCTGATGGAAGTGTTGGTAGGTGAGTCGATGTAGATTTTAATCTGAGGTCGACTGGCACCATTGCGGATCCTCTTCCCCACCTCCCGGGCTCTCCTGTGCGTGTCTGACAGGTTGTTGAACCTGGCCAGAGAGTCGGGCAGCAGGCACACGTTGGCACTGCAGAAACAGAAGCTTCTGCCCTGTGGCCTCCATTCCCCAAGGCCTACCCCACCTGGCCCGGCCTGGCCCTGCTCGGCCTGGTGTTTGTCTGGCCTGCACAAGGTAAGCAACGGAAACACTAAATCAAATCAAAGAGAGGCTGTGGAGCACACAAATAACCCAATAAATAACCCTCCATAATGAAACATAATGAAAAAAGTTTAGAGTTTAGGAAATACGGTCATCTTATTAGCTAGCCTAGCATAAAGCCTGGAAGCAGGGAGAAACCACTACCTGGCTCATTGTGTGGTTATGTTGAGGGGAAGACACATTTTGATAACTTTGGAACAAAAAATGCAGCCTCATTTGGAGAAACGTTATGCATATCTAGCTTGTACCATGGGATATTTTCCACATTAACTTACTGCAATTATCTTGATAGAAGTCATTATTTTTCCACTTTGTTTCTTTCTTATCTTTACATCCTTTTCTGTTGTTGTATGCTTTCCATACAACCACAATTTTATTTTCATTATGTTTTTCTTCCCAAATCTATCAATCTATCCTTTTCTACTAACTCTATTAGGATCGCTGCTCTTTGATCCTATGGATTTTTATGGAAAAACCTGGAACCATTTCACTTAACCATTACCACATTCATTTTGAGGCAGCAGTATAATTACTGGAAACAAACAGATAACAAAGGGAATATCTAACTTTGTGAGAGAGTGCTGCTCCTCCACAGCAAACAGAGCTAAATACAGCATTTCCAATTTCATGGTTATGATGGGTAGCCTGCTGTGTGTTTGGATAACCAAACACTCGCTGAGAACTGATTGAGCCTGGCAGCTGTAGGCCAGACCAATGAGCAAACTCTTTACAGTAGATAATGACTCCATTTTCTGCCTCTTGAAATTTCCAAACTTAACTGGCACTGTAGATATAAAATGAAGCATGATTTCGCAAGTGAATGGCCTATTTTTTTTTTTTTTTACCTCAGATAGATTCAGAAACTCATTTGATGAATAGGTTTGGAGAAAATCGTCAGGGATCTGGCTGTTTCCAGAGATCATCTTGCGATGGGATAACATCAGCTGCTATGCTAGGGTTGGGAATTATTCAATCCAAAATGAGCATAACTGCTTCAAGTATAATTATAAAGCAAAAACTAAAAATCCATATATACACACACGTGTTAAAAATATTGAACTGAGGGGTAACGTAAAGATGTAAAATCAAATCTTCAAAATTACTCAAAATATTTCACATCAGATTTTTCGAGTAAAGTAAGTTAGTATGTACTTGATGCCTCATTATTATCAATTCAGACGACGTAATTGTGTATCATGATATCTCTATAAATAAATTCATCATGACATGATTCCATTGAAAGACGATAAATTATTATATTGAATTATCGCCCAGCCTTTACACGACAACAATGCTTGTGTGGCAAAATGTGGTGCTGGAGACACTTACTGCACACAGCAGCATTTTGAACTTGTAAGTGGATGTTTTGTACCAAAAAAGTTTAGAGTTAATGATCTGTCCTTGTGTCTTTATGAACACTGACTTAGCTTTAAGTTTCTTTTATCTTTTTAATCAAAGGAGCAGATTTATTCTAACATAGTTGGTTATGTTTTGTACTGAAGATACAGTTGAGAGTTTCACACCCATTCAAGCCTGGAAAGTCTCCTGCTATTGACTAAGTCAACCTACAGAACTTACCAGCAAAAACTTTGACTGTCAATGCATTTCATTTGTTTCCTACAATATGAGCGTGCAGCAACTAAAGCAGGACTTTCAGAGGACCTTCTGAGGACCTTCTTAGGACTTTCAGGGGACCTTCTGAGGACTTTTAGAGGACCTTCTGAGGACTTTTAGGGTACCTTCTGAGGACCTTCAGAGGACGTGAAAGGAGCAGATAAAAAAAAAAACCCGTGCCACTAAGGGCCACACTAACCTGCGGTAGGTGTACAAGTATGGCTGGCGGATGGCCTGCAGGGGAGCCCAGATGACGAAGCCCAGCAGGGCGAAGGGCAGGGAGGCGAAGAGGAGGAGCAGGTATAGTGGCGCGGAGATCAGCAAGCACAGGGTGAGGAAGGAGCAGGGGTCTTGGGAGCGTCGACGCTTCTCCAGCGATGTGGCCACGCAGGAGGCCAGGAGCTGGTCCAGGAGCCAATAGCAAGGGAACACCAGGCTCCACGACAAGCCATCCAGGAAGTGCAGACAGGCCCCGGAGTAAGGGGTGGTGTGGAGGACCATCTCTTTTCTTTCCTTTCTCCCTCTTTCTTCCTCTCTCTGTCACTTTCTCCTCACCTCGCACTCTATGTCCACACCCACATGCACTCTTTGAACAAGCGAAAGCAAATCTATTCCAGAGATAACATGAACATGAATAAATAAAAAAAGAAACCAGACTCAAATGTAGACCCTCCCCCCTCCTTGGAGAGAGGAACACTACATGGTTTGGGGTGATATTTTTGGGGATCTTCACAGACAACCTTGTCTCAGCATTACCTCCCCTCCCTCAGCAATCACACCTTGTACATGGGGGGGTCGAGGAACGCAGTCTGGAGGTAGGGGGTTTCCATGACAAGAACGTTTCCGTTGATGAAAGATCTATGATTGCGAGGACGCCAGTTGGCTCAAGATGGGGCAGCCATTAAATGTCACCCGGCCGTTAAACATCACCGTTTCCTTAGGTTCTGGAGAAAGTGAACTGATTGATAGAACAATAGAGCAAATAAATTGGGAGGGGGAGAGAGAGAGAGAGAGAGAGAGAGAGAGAGAGAGAGAGAGAGAGAGAAAGGGAGAAAGGTGGGGAGGAACAAGAAACAGGAGATCAGTGATGGACTTGCTGTGAAAACTGAACCTTGTTTATCTCCTAATGTTTGTGAATGCGTCATGGATATAGTTCCCACAGCTGCTTTTAAGTCCACTACAGCAGCAACTGAAAATATGCTTCAGCCACATTAAAAAAAAAATGAAGGTGCCTGTCTTAATAGGAAATGGGCTGGGCTAATATGTTCAAGAAGAACAGGCCATGAATGGTCCAGAATGATAATCAATATGATATTAACCACTACTGCTTAAATGATCTTTCTGCCCACAGTGGACTTAACCAGAAAAGACTGTCAGTGAATGCTTTTTAACCGACTATAATACACCAACACAAGCAACAATGGAAAGAATCAATTCCACCAGCATGAATAGATAATGAATAGATTAATTAATTCCTGACAACAGCTAGGGGTTTAGGAAAAAACAAACAAAGTGTTGACATCAGGGCAACCTCATATACCTGACAGGGACCACCGGAGCAACAAGGCAGCACATCTACAGCACGACAAAATGACTCCAGAATCCATCAAACCACACTGAAACTCACCGTATGCTGTACACACATTATTCTAGCACACGTTACATTGCACAATCCATATTAAGACACGTAGTGGGTGAAGGTGATGTCCCCAATTACACCGGTAAGCAACTGTACTCACTTTACATCTGTCAAATAACATTATTGTAATACATCTTCTTGACTCAAAAACGTTAAAAAAAGTATTGCTTTCTGTCTTAATTAATTTTCACCGACTTGAAAAAGTACGCCACGTTGTCTGTCCTATATTCATTTCGCATCCAGGATCTGTTCTTTTTTTATCTTTTCAAGTTGGAACACTTCTCAACAAAACACCACTTTGTGAGCCATTTGTCAAAACAGCCCTACTATTTTCTTCCAAAATGAAAATCTTTTGTTTGACAGGCTCATCCTCTGAATAGCACAACAATAATCACTGTCACCTCCATCCTAGTAATCTTCTGCGCAGTCAAAACCTTTGTGTACAACATTGATTCATGTTATTGTGTGAACGGTGTTCCCCATTTTGTAAGATGACTGACTTGCCGCCTGTTACTGATCGACTTCCTCTTTATGCTGGTTGACTGGTTGACCGAGGCGGCTGAGAGTTGAAGAAATGTCCTACTGATTCAACGGTAGGTCGAACTGACATGATCGCAGCGCTTCCAGCTGACTGACTGACTGTTTAACTGTCTGGGCGGCTTACTGGCTTGACGTGTGATTGTCTGGCAGATTAGCAGGACGACAGACAGCACTTTCAAATTCAACCACCCTTCGGATTTAGTGCTTAGGTTATAAATCCATGGTTGCTGTTTATTTAAGATAGTGAATATGACTGTGATGGTAATTGGTTAAAGCACTGTTTAACCTACCTATCAATTAAACACTGGTGTCTATTTAGCGTAAACAGAGGACAGAGTGCGCAGAGAGAAAGTCAGTGACCTAATGAAAGCGAGCAAATAGAAGGCTAGCCTCCAGACAAATTCACTTTTTGCACTGCTGCCTGAAATTAAAGATGCAATTTGCAGCCTTCCCTCATTAAAAGGAGCTATTTATGGCTCACTGTTTTAGGATTCACCAAAAATACATGGATAATAAAAACATTTCAAATGATCTATTTAAATTCAATTTATTTTTAGTAATTTTAGTTTTTAATGTTGAAATCTTTTTTCTTCTTATTTAAGGACATTGTTCACCACAGTATGAAGTAAAAGTCATCAGACGGAGAGTACAGCGCAAAAAAGAGACACAGAGAGAAAACACCGGAGAGAGTTACTCATTATACTGCAGATCAGTCTCTCCAAGTAATAAACAAAGAAAATGAGAGGTAAAAAGTACATGCTTGCGTTAAATACATTTTATCCAATGTTCGTTTATTGGAAATCATCACAACAAATCTAGATACATTCTTTTTGTTCCTGAAAAACAAGAGTTGAGGATTACGCCTCATGGTCTTCATTAGCTGCTCACATATAGACATATAGCAGTTGAAAAAGGAAGTCACTGCGGTTTACAAAAATAGTTCCCTGTTCAATCGCAACTCTTGGTTTTTACATTTTGGTTTTGTGTAATTATTATAGTTGTAAAAAACAATTGTTATAATGACTTACTTGCTAAGTTGATTTGGCAGCCCTGTCTACTACAAAATAATGTTACCATACAACCAAAATGCAATTAGGTTTAGAGGGAAATGCATTTTACAGTCGCAGTTTTAAAAACGTGATCAACGTTGCAAATTGAAACAAAACAAGAATGCATCAAAAGCTGTTGGTTAGGTACAGTATATAGTAAAACATCACGGTTTGGCTTAAAATAAGTACGTTTTCACTTTAGGGAGTTAAATTGAAATAAGTCAAAGTTGGCTATTGGTTTTACACGTATTTGTGATATGTCAAAAACAAATGTAGTGCAGAACAAAATATGTTATACTCACAACATAATTAACAATTTCCTTGTATAGGAACATTAAAAGAGACTGTTATCGTTACCTCTGCTTTCTGTTGTAAAATAGACTAATCTAATCTAATTAACTACTGGCTCTAGGTTTACATTCACCCAATAGATCCTCTCATCTAACTATTGGCAAGAAAGTGAAAAATCGGAATTTGTCAAGCTATATTCCTTTAATATATATTCCTATATTCCTTTAAGAACTATTATCTCCAATGAATTAACTCTCACGCTGAAGATATTTTCCCTAGATATATTTATTAGTGTCATATATCTAGCAGTGAGCAGGTTGTAACTATCACAGTAAATCTTGGAGAAACAGCGTGACAGTGGAAAGAACCACGATGGAGAAAGGCAGGAAAAAAAAGAGAAAACTGTTTAGTTAATTAAAATATCAGCGCTGCGGCATTTCCCCGTCTTCCTCGTTGCCATTATGAGGCAGACAGCTCACGAGATGATTGACAAGTGGAAAGCAGCAAACTGAGAGAACCTTTCATTGCACTAAAGGCTTTGTTCATTCTATGCTTATTTTATCGTGCTGTGTTAAACCCCATGACCTGCAATATCTAATGGCATCAACCTTTCAACAAGACTCCGTGAAGAATTTCCTCTTTGGAATTGCAGACGTCATCAACAAGCAAACCCAGAAAAACACCCTTCAGTCACAGCTGATACATCAGCGAGCACAAACTGTCACAGTTAGTGTTATCAGGGGAAACGGAGCAGTGCATAATTCATTCCCAAACACACAGGCTTATAGGAAGAGACGGAAATACACTGAGGAGGGAAAAGATCCGAGAGAATGCCAGCAGACACTTTAGTGGCAAAAACACACATTCAGGCACAGACACACAAATCATGTAACAGTCCAAAGACATGCAGACTTAGACATATACATGTTTACAATGAATCAGTTTTGTGCCACAGAGAAATCCTTAGTTGGTCTGCACTATGCTGAGCTGTAGTCTGTTAATTAGACAGACTAAAACGAAAACACAGACAACTCCCAGGCCAGACAACCCTGTGGTAACGACCTGTCAATCACAAAGTAGCCCCGCCCTAAAGCGTACCCTGCTTTGTGGTATATTTCACTCTAAAATGGACCATAATTTACTAAATGAACATCATGCTGTATTGAAGAAGACTTGAAACTAGAGATTGAGACCATAAACTAAGTAATAAATCAAGTGAGAAGTATGGTCATTTCCTCAAAGATTTCTATACAATCAGAGGAGTCGCTCCTTGCTGGACATTAGAGAGAATACAAGTTTCAGACACTTAGACATTGGCTTCACTTCTCAGAACCAGATGTTTGCACTCATGTCTCCCGTCACCCAATCTCGGAACTAATCGTCTATCATTCTGACAACAGATAAACCTCTGGGGGCAAGTGGCTATATTTGTGGGATTCCGGTGTAGCCAGCGATTATTGGTTTGCAGAACGATTAGCAACTTGAGATGTGAGACTGCTGTTGGAAGTTGAGAGACAACATGTATGACCGTGATTTTTCATAAGCTAATTTGAAACCAATTAAAAGCTAAATTGTTGTCGTACGCTGGTTGGTTCCCAGATTGTATTTTAGCCGTGTTCTGCCTCTTTTGCTTTCCACATGTGGTAGGGCAATACTACTTGGACGTTGCATTCATATGCAGAATCTGTTTGTATCGATTGCCAGTCTCCAGACGAAGGACGGTTTTGGTCTCCACCAATCAGGAAAACATCTCTTTAGCTGCTAAATGCTTATTGTCTTTTCAACAGGATGTTTTCACAATTTTGTCTGCCATTCAGTAGAGGCTAGGTATGCAACAGTTTATCAGAACTTTTTCACTAAAAACAGCTGCTTGCTGCTGCTAAGAGAGAGACAGAACTGAGTTTGCGGGTCGGAAAACCAAAACACTAAGCTGAAAGAGGCTGAAAAAGAACTGCAAAACTGAGAGGAACTGCGGAGTTAGGCAATAAATTCTCTGTAGATGGTTACTATGAGCAACCACTTTCATGTTACACACAGTCATTTAATCCAAATTATATATGAAATATTGATTACTGCACCTTTAAGGATGGAGAGCGGTAAAATAATTAATTTGTGTGCCGGTATGGCTCACTAATAATGCTTGATCGGCCTCAGGCTGAAAAAATCGGAACACTTTGCCATTCTTAGTAACTTTTGACCAATAGAAACACTACCAAATATGAATTTGATGTATCAAAATGTCATAAACCAACAGCTGTTCTCAGAGCTGTCAAAGGACAAACTAAGTCACTGTGAACATTTTTTCCGAAAGTGGCTTTTTGAAACATAATATTTAACTATGTGGGCACTGCTTTTAATGAATCCCAAGAGAGTGACCTGTTTTACATTACAGAGAGATGAAAACTCGCAGCTAGTGTCCAATATGAATACAATATGATGAGTGGTGCTTTAATCGAAGAGCAGTGTGGGAGTTTGTCTCCCCATTAGCCAAAAACAATGAAAACAACCTTTCCTAGAATGAAACAAAATGACACAAAGGGGGATAGAAGCTGCTGGTAGAAACAACAGGGGCCACATTTTCTTCTTGGCTTTGTTTTGCTTCAATTCTATTATTGAAATTGATCACAATCAATACATATCTCTGATCTCTGTGGGCTTGTACTTTATGACACAATAACAGCAACATAGCATTGAAGCACATGGACTAACAAGAACACTTTCACATCTCTAATCAGACACCTCGACACATCGCCTAATAGGATGCACCCCTCACTGTACGGAGGAGTGATAAATGACTATGTCAGCTTGGGAAATGTGGTTTGTTCAAGTTTCCCCCACAGATCAGCTTCAGATAGTTTCCTCCTCAGCGCCCATCAATACTGTCTGTCTGGTTAAACAGGAGAAAAAACTTAGAGTGAGTATGTGTGTGTGTGTATGGAAAGGCGGATGGGTCGTTTTCACCTGCTCTTGTGCGAGCCCATCACTAGCATGTGTGTTTACTCTGTAAGCCTATATGAGTATATATGACGTCCGTGTGCGTGCACGTAAACCATTGTGCGTGTGTTCATGCGCATGTACTGTATGTGAGTGTGCTTGGCAGTACAATGTAGCAACTGAATGTGGCTGAGTGGAGCAGAACAGGAACCGATGCCCTCATTTTGTTATGGAGGAGAGAGAAGAGAGCATCGAGCGACACACACACAGCCATGTTTTCATCACTTTGGAGGACATTACATTAAAAACATTCATTTTCTGGAGACTAAACCCAAACCCTAACCATAACCGCTACTTGCCTCGTCCTAACCCTTACCCTAACCTTAACCAAAACCTAAATCTAAACCTAACCCCAAAACAAGTGTCCACCATAAGATGTAATGATTTATGTTATGGGGACGTGCAACAAAAGCGAGTGTAAACAGTCCCCACAACACGCTCAAACAGACACAAACACACATACACACACACCCGACCCTAACCCAATTCAAATTCTATCCCGAACATTAAAATCAAGTCTGAACAGGCCACACAAACAATAGGCAGAGACCAGTGACGTCACTCTGCTCTCAGCATGCTCCAGGGAGTTCTGTTGCCATGGCGACCTAGTCACATGCACTCTGGAACTGTACTAGTCTGGCCGCCTGTCAGTGTACAGAGAACACACAGACACAGCTATGGCTCTCACATACATACTGAAGTGTTTGCAGGGCATCTATACAATGTGTTGCGACACTCACAAGCAACGCATGTATGCTGCTACAATGAAGCATGTCGGGCATTTAGTTATACCCATATGTCACATGTTTTCCCCTGGATGGATATTTTCCAATCAATTACGAATTGTGGCTATGTCTACTACTACACATTTCCATCAACAACAAAGTAATTTGGGCTGAAATCAGGCCTGGGGGAACAATGGGGCAGAACAGCAACTCCCATGAGCCCTCTGGCTTCTCAACTGCACTGGATAAATTGTCAAATTATTCATCATCAGCCTCAGCCAGAGGAGAGCCTGCAGCTAATTACCCTCAATATTTCACAGTCGTATTAGAGCTTGTCTCAGGAGGTTTTCTATATGTGTGTGTTTGTGTGCTGTGTACAGTATTCTTATACAGTATTTGTTCATGTGTGGGTGGACTGGGAACCCCCAGCAAATACAATGGATTACAGTTTTAAAAGTCTGTTTGTGTGTGTGTGTGTGTGTGTGTGTGTGTGTGTGTGTGTGTGTGTGT